GTAGTAGTAGTAGTAGCAGTAGTCATCGTACTAGTATAGTAAGAGGAAGAAGAAGAAGAAGAGCAGCTGTGTGGAAGGCTTTCGGCTTCGGGAAAGCACCCAACCCCTCACTGATTACTGGCGCTCTTTGTGCCGGCTCATCCGTCGGCAGACTGGCGCCCAGGCGAGTACGGATTCAACCTCGGGCGCATGGAAGCTACAACTCACGAGAACAGCAGGACGCTGCACAACATAGTGCAATGTTGTGGTGGCAAACATCGTCATTGCTTACCACGATTGTTCTCATTCTTTCAACTTCCTGACCAAAGGCCGATATTGCTGGCAACTTGTATGCAATCAGTGTGCAAGGCGTGAAAGCTGAGTGAGCCTCTCAACATTCCCGTGCAAGCTTGCGAGCTGCCAAGCTCGAATCTTACATCCCCCAGCGGCTGATGAAAATGCTTTGATCTGAACTTGAAACCATTCCAAGTCCTGTCTGCTGTGAGCTTCCGGCTGCAACACACCGCAGTGCAGCATCCTTAGATTGCTGGGAATTGACACTAGAAGCGCGTTAAGTCGACAACTGCGCACAAGCTCTAATCTTGTGTCAGACACACAGGCAGAAAGCCGTGCAGCCAAGCGTCTCTTTCGGGCGAAAGGGTCGTCGTGAGGCCATCAGCGCCTCGTTGAACTCATGTGGTGGAGTGGACGAAAGCACTGACGGTCTGGAAAGCCACCACCCGGATCCAAAGCCTGCTGCAGCTCCGAGTTGAACTCTGAGGGCTTTAGCGGCTCCGTGTAGACCTGAGCTTTCCGGCAAAATGATGCCAAAGGATCACATAAAGGCAACATGGGCAGGACAGGCGGCTCGTGTGTCCGTTTGGTTGTAAAAGATGTCCAGAAGTGGCAAGGCTGTCCTGGCAGAAAAAGCAGATGCCAGGCAAGACCGGTGGCCTTTACTTCATTCCCTGCTGTCCCGCCACTGTAGCCCGACTGGGCGTTCCAACCGTAGGCCGTATGGTCCCGGTTGACCTGCGAATGCAGCCGAGCCCTAGCCGACAAAAGCACCCGATGAGCTGGTAGGCTTCAGCGATGTTCTCACCATTTGCTGCCCTGCTGTCGCAGAGAAGTGATCTTCACCACAGCGTCACAACTCGATAGGTTGCTGGGTGGATGATACATAGCGAGGTGGGCCTAGTTAGGTAGCAGGCAAGAAAGCTCTGAACCAAGCCTGCGAGCTTACACAGGTTTTTTGGATTTGTGTCCCTTGCTCAGCGCCTCTGAGTCACCATGCAAGAAGTGAAAAACGATCATCTTGTCCTGGGCCACCACGGGATGCCGTGCATGGTTTGCTTCTGCTTCAGAGGTTACCAGAGGCAAAAAGTCGTCTTGGAAGCTCTGCAGGCAACAAAAGGCAGCAGACAAGCACAAGGAGATGCGCACACAGCTCCCTTGCTAAAAGAATCCCTCACCAACATTCCGACAAGCTCATCCCGCTTTGTCTTCGTATGCAAATTCCCCCGTAACAGCCGAGTGCGATGCCAGATCCCCTGTCCATCCCGTGGTGTTGAGAACACGCGCGGATGCAAACCTTGTCTTTCTCTCTCTCTCTCTCTCTCTCTTCTTTCGCCGGGGCTATCTCCCTCTCTCTCCCTCTCTCTCTCTCTCTCTCTCTCTCTCTCTCTCTGCTCTGCTTGCTCTGCAGGCACGCAATATGTAGAATGCAAGTGTGGCTTGTAACTTCTGTGGTCTTGTGGCATTTGCGGTCTTCGGGAACATTGTTCGCGCGGATTACAACAGAATGCTCTGTTACTACCGAAAGATTGCAAGCAAAAACCCTGCAACGAAATAGGTCGTCGTCAGATTCCCAACACATTCGAGCAAGGCCACTCTGTCACCGGATCCAGCAATGCCCAGCGGGGGACCCTCGGACGGAGGTACCTGCACCAAAGTGAGACTACACCCTGCACCCACATCTAAGCCTACTCGCAAGCCCGAAAGACAACGCTCAGACCGGGCAGATCTTCAAAGGCTACTGCCAACGGGAACTCGAGTTCGGTGCTACTTGTAACATGTACAGGAGCCTCCACACCCAGCGACAATACCAGAAAATCCAAACACGGCCTCAGATGGCCTTAGATAGTTGTGGACCTGACCTTCTGCAAAGTTACCGGTTGCAGGACGCAATCGTCAGTTTTGCAGTGTCGTCATGGCACGCAAAACGAGAACATCCAAGAACGAAGTCTGAAGTGTGGTTCAGGCACATCTTGAAAAGCTTGGACGACGAAATGGATTCCGGCGACGTGGCATTGTCCTGGCAGGCGGCTTGGATTGGATCTGCCGCGCTGGCACTCTCCTGCTGCTGGCTAAGACTAAAGCTGCATTGCCTGGCGGAAAGTAGACAAAAGGTTCGAAGGAGTGAAGCTTGCAAAGGTCAAGCAGATGTCGCTACCAGCATTACTAGTACTACTCGTAGCAATGCTCTTTACTATAGTTGCCATGACTCATGCTGCTGGAAAACACAACGATTACCGCCACTATCAGCATTGCTGTGTCTACTTTTTCTCTTGCGGGCCCTTTGGCTTCAGCTCTTGTCGTACTACTCCTGAGCCAGCACTACTACCACACGGCTACTGCTGCTGGTACATCACAGCTCAGCACTGCTGCTGCTCGTGGTGCTGCTGGTGCTCCTACTACTACCAACTACCTGACTAACTCGCTAGCTAACTTACTTACTTACTAGTTAACTAACTAACTGACTGACTGGCTAACTAGCTGACTAACTAGCTTTCGACTTCGACTTTGACTGCAACTTCGATGACGACGACCCTAAACCCTAAATCCACAGCCCTGAGCAACAACCCAAAACCCTACATCCACAACCCCAAATCCACTAAATAAAGACCTTACCTTACATAAACCCGAAATTAAGCGCCTAACTTCTAACCCGCAACCCTTCACCCTGAACCTCAAATCCGAAAACCTCAAGTCCTCCCAGGCCTCGTCGGGGCGTCCTGCGAGGAACGCGCTGAAAGCTTGCTGGTCGTGGGTGTAGACCTCGGGGTCGATCTCAGGTCGTTGGTTCAGGATCTTTCCAGGTTTTGGGGTTTTGGGCGGAGGGGTTTTTAGGCTTTCGGATTTAGCTCATAGCGTCTTAGGGTTTAGGATCTTATGGGTCTTCGGAGCATACGGGAGCTTCTGGCACTAAGGCTTTTGAGCCCCCTTTTTTCCGGCAGAGCCTTGCGCTCTGCCGAAGGCCAATTTGGCCGGAAGATCGCACCCCTGAAAGCCCCCTTTTCAGTAGAAAAGTGTCAGTTTAGGGTTTAGGGTTTAGGGTTTAGGGTACCCCGAACAATCAAGGTTTGACCTGTTCGTAGCTCCGGAGGCCCGCAACGGCTCCTCGTGCTCGGCTCCGAGACAGGTGGGCGCTGGAATGAAGCAGCGCAGCGGCTCGTCCGAGACTTGGTGCACATCCGAGCCCAACGGGCACCGCCGGCACTGCGAGGAGCAGCCACTTCCGCCTGGACGAGACGGTGGTGGGCGGTTCTGGTCGTAGCGGTACAGCACGCTGTGAGCAGCACAGCGCTCGGAAGCCCNNCGCGCCACCACACGCG